ATATAAGGGTGCAAATGGAGTCATACTCATGTTCGACATCACTAAAAACTGGTACTTCTTAACCTGGTCATCAAACAATATAGTCTTTTGATTGGACATTGTTTAATTATAAGGCATACATTTTACCCCTGATACAGTTAGCTCTCTCTCTTCGTTTATCCGAACTAGTACAGTGAAATGTATGACGAGATGACCGTACGACCCCCGTAAATGATGCATTTTATCATTTCAGCGCTTATTTGATTTTTCTTATAAAAGCTAGTGTTGAATTAAGGACATGGGATTATGTAGTGAGAGAGCTGGACAATATTCCAAGCAATATACCAGTGCTTGTTATCGGCAATCGAAGGGATATGGGGCATCATCGACAGGTTTCAGAAGACGTCTGCCGATCATTTGTGGAGATGTATGAACGGTAAGATTTTTGTTTTTTTTTTAATTAGGCTTGACACCGCATCAGAATACGTTTCTTCCTGACTGTAACTCGACAAACCCATTCAACGATTTTCAAAAGTGCCATATGTAGCGATTATTGCTTTTCTACCGCAGCTCGCTTTGCCTTGTTTAAGTTATTGATTCATCAAAAGATTAATATGACGGTAGTTTCGGATCGTTATATGTTTTTCTTCTTCCTCTTCGTGATCGATTCAAGAGCCGTTTGTCACGCAGGCATAACTAAATTGTGCTGTCGGCTAGAATCATTTTGAAACCAGAAATTAGCATTCCTATGACACTGTTTCGAAAAAATTAGAGTAGCAGTATGCAAATGATAAACCATAACATGCGGAATAGCAGTATGGAAAGAAAATGCAGAAAAAAACAACGAGGAATGCTTTACCAAAAGCATTAGAACCGCTAGAATAGGTGATTCGAGGGTCTCAAGTTAGCGACGTTATTGGGGGATGCTTCTGCTGCATTGATAATCGCCACCTTCTTCCGAACATTGCCATTCTTTTTGCAACATACATAAGGGGGCTGCAGTGTTTACAAATAGCAATACGCACCAGACTAGCCGGTGCGATCATGTGTTTTGTGCAATTCAGCCCATCGAACGATTGCCTATTAATGATTTTCACTGCTTTATACTTCAGTCCATGCAAAAAAAAAACAGTTCAAACATTAGAAAATAATTAAAAATTTAACGCACCAGCGCATGAAAGCTGTATTCGAAACCTTGAAGGGT